TATTATCTTATATTTAATGAAAGTCGAAAAATGAACATTAAAGTAAATTATGATAACGTAAGTGTTTACGTTGTTACTAATTGATTTTTATGTAAACGTGTTATGAAGAATTTTTCAGTCTTATCACATGGGTAAGTGAAGTGTTACGCTTTCTAAATAAACAAAAAGACAAATTCTTCGTCATACAGAAGTGTATTTCATTGAGATGTAACCTGTTTAATTGATCTCATTGATATTGTGTTATGGTTTGATAGTTTTTATAAATTTAGAAGAAACATATTGATGATTAAGATAGAATTATAGGTGAATATTTAATTTTTGATTCATTCAATGATTCTTAGAAGTATTGAGTAATTGTTAGGTTTAAGGCTATCACGAGTTCATTTAATCGGCGAACGAGAACAAAGACTCACTGACCAAAGACCAGTAAGCTAGCAGTTTGATGAGTCATAGCCCCTCTAACTAGAGGTAGAAGTCCAAACTTGGATTGGGGAAGTATGTTCTGCAAGTAGCCAGAAACGAGCGATAACAACAAACACAATTCAAAACGTATATGCAGTGCAAAACCGTTCTTCGGGAGAGTTATCAAATAGGATACTAAAAGATGCAACGGATCAATATCACTTAAGATATTTCCCAGTAGGAACTACGACATGAAGGTGACAAGAGTGCCTTTGGCACGAAAACAAAGAAATTCAAAATTTCTAAATAAATTACAAAATTAGGTCCATTCCCAAGTGAGTTCTGGGGATCTAACGTCCCCAACAGTAATGTTTGTTGTTATGTAGATTGAAATTAGCAATTGATACTTACTTTTCATTTAGGCATGTTACTCATCATGGAGGAGCATAGGTCATTCATCAGCATTTTCTATTCAACACTCTCTTAGGAAATACTTCTCAGTTGTTTCCAGCTGAATTTCATCGTTTTCATGTTTGCTTCCAATACTCAACGCAGTGTGTTCTTTGGTTTTCCTTTTTTCTGTTCTCCTTCAAAATATCAAGTTGGAGCTTGCGTCATGATACAGTTTGATGATTTCCGTAATGTATGCCATATTCACTTCCAACGTCTTTTTGTAATTTCCACTTCATTTAGAAGCTAGTTATCCAGTCAACGAACATTGATTGTCTTATGTAGACAATACTTTATAAATACGTGTACTAATTGTTGTCGTAGCACTCCAAGTTTCAGCTGCATATAGTAAAATACCTTGACACGATTTGATCTGTGCACAGTCGACACTTACGGAATTCGGTCTGTTGATCTTGAAGTTGGACGTATACTGAATCCTTCATTCGGTTCAGCAACACTGTTAAAAACTTTTCCTGGTAGTGGTAATAGTGTGATATCTATGTAGTTCTCACATTTATTCAGATCTCCGTTCTTTGGTATTTTGATGAGCTATCCTTCTTTCTTCGCTCTCCCAAATATTCCTGAATTGAACATTGAGCATACTTGCAGTTACTTCTGTGTGTGACTTCAATGATTCAGTTGGTATATTTTCAGGTCCTATTTCTTTACCACTCCTGATTGTTTAATGATCGCAAGTGATTCTTCGATCTTAGGCGGAGGATATCTATAAAGAGTTCTGTAGGTGCTGCTTCGATATCCGGCGAATTCAATGGAGTCGGTATTCAGGAGTTCCTCGGTTCTTAAATCCCAGTGATTGACTTGCCTTCTTTATCACTGACCAGTATCTCTGGTTTACTATATTTCCCCACCAAGTTATTCATTGTGCCATATAGTTGTTTCATATTTCATTTTCCAGATTTTTCCGCTGTCTTAGCTACACTTCACCGTATTTCTGCTTGTCGGTTTTAATGATCTTCTTCATTTGCTTGTTTGCGTTTGTGTAGTCGGCGTGTTCCTTGACTTTCTCTCTTCTTGTTCGACTGTTGTTAATTGCTGTTTTTTGTTCTTTCTTTACTGAACTCTGTCCAGGGTTTCAATGGAATCAATTATTTTCGATGATGGTGGTTGATGTCCAGCACCTCCTGACACGTCAAATTAGTTTTTCTGTGATTCCTTTCCGGCCGCCCTACATAGTAGTCTTCTCTTCATTCAGTAGATCTTGTAAGACTTGTAACCTTTTGTTGAGAGTTACCTTGCATTGGTTGAGTTTATCAGTAGGTCGAAGGACTAGTGTATTTGGCGTCAGTTTCATCTTTGCCACAACCAAGTGGTGATCTGAAGCCACCTCAGCTTCATGATCTTTATCGTCGTCGTTGCTATCATTGGTGAGTGCATAACATTGGATAACATTCATTGTGATTCCCTCATACTTTGTTCAGAAGGATGCTTTGATGGTCCTGGGTCCACGAACTTCCATCCTATGAGTGCATTTCGTGCTTCTTTGGACAACATCAGAGGAAGAACTCACTTTTCTTCTTCATGACCAGAGTACAGCAGCATCTCTTCCGAATCTTTCCTTTTCTGTCAGCTTTGGCTCCAGTTGATTTCACTTATTCCGAGCACTGTCAAGTTGTATCTCCTCATTTCCATTGCTATTTGTTTGGTCCTCCCGGTCTTCTGCACTGTCCGAACATTTCATGTACCTACATTAATTGTTGCTTTGGTTGTTAGAAGGAACATCGGTCATAATTCTTTCTTGAACTTGGAGGACAGAGTTTAAGTGTGTTGAAATTGTTTATTCTGGTTGGCGTTTTTTAGCAAGGTTGTTTTCTACGGGGTGGGGGTTGACTTCTCTATTGAACCAAGCTGAGTGGAAAAGATTGGATTCGGGAGGCATGGTGTATTCTGGACATGAAGAAAGAAATATCTCACACAAAAGGAGTTGCACTAATGCTATCCAAAGAAGCAACGAAGATCACTTATAGGATGAACACCAGCTGTATCCAGGATCATTCAAGCCCTATTCGGAACAAACGAACAGGGGATCACAACGAATTCTGTTTAGTACAATGTGCACATGAAGGGAAGGAGAGAGGACGATAAAGGTCAGTTTTATGAGACGTGGAGTTGGCCGTAGAGAATGGCTCAGGAAAATGACCTGAGCATTTTGGTAAGTGACATAAATGCTAAAGTCGCTGTGCACAATACCAGGTATAAAGATTACATGTGACAACACGAACTGAAAAAAAGGAACGAGAATGGTGCAGATATTTCAAAACTTATCATCCTTCAATAAATGGTTTAAAGTTATGTGGAGAGCAGAACGAAACACATACCCCCTGAAGTATGAAGTAACTACAAACATGCTCCACGTTTTGTTCGTGAAGAATAATACGTGCTGACACACCGGAAAGAAGGATATTTCATCAAGATACCAAAGAAAGGAGATCTGAACAAATTTAAGCACTACACAGGCATCACACTATTATCACTACCAGAAAGGTTTTTAACAGTGTTGTTGAAGCGAATGGAAGATTCATTAAACACCTATCTTCGAGATCAACATACCGAATTCCGTAAGTGTCGACTGTGCACAGAAAATCGCGATATCATAGATCATCGTTAAACAATTAATGGAATGGAACTCGCCACTATATATCAACTTCCATTGACTAGAGGAGAGCATTTGATAGTGTGGATAGGAGAACATTATGAAAACTTCTTGGACACTATGTAGTGGGTAGCTGAGCAGATCGTCCACATCACCTGGAATTCATACGATGGACTACACTGCAGGACACTGGAGGACAGCTGACAGATGTAATTCAAATGAGGACCGGAGTCATAGAAGGCTTTTATTGTCTTTTTCTCTCTCTTTCTTATTTTGCTCTTTCTTCTGGTGGCCGATTAGATTATACAGATCTTCACATCTAGGAGGAAGCACGGAATACAGTGGACAGATTGGATTCAAATAGATAATCGACCTCTTCTATTCCGTACACAAACAAAGCAAGTAAATACAACAAGAGTAGTAGCATCCTCTACATCAGTAGGCCTCAACATACACAAAGTAGAGGGCGCGATCCGGAAATACAACGCGAAAACACCGACCAAACCAATCAGTCTTGATGGCGAAGCTCTGGAATAGGTGGAAACGTTCATGAACCTGGTCAGCATTATCGGTGCGAAAGTTGTTCCGATCAATATCAAATTTGGCATTTTATTTATTTTATTTATGTACTTATCAAAGGAAGTCCATGCTCAAATTATCGGTTATATCTGACTGGAATAATTAACTGCCCAAATCGGTAAACAATCCTGGTTGATTGAGTTAATCGACGGGAAAACCTGTCTGCACACAGTATTTGGTATTCGTGAAAAAATTATCGATGTCCGACCCCATGTTATTCGGCCTCACAGTTAGACCAATAACCACAGAGCTATTTTCACTACTACCGACATCGTGTACTACGGAGATTTTATCATTGATTAATCATTGGTTGGTGACTTATGACATTCACTTCCTGAGTAGATCAATGATAGTACCTCAGAATGTTAAAAATCGGTGAAGCTGATTCGAATTTTACCAGGATCTCCGGTTTCATTAAGATTTCACTATCGCTACTATATACCTACTAACACAAAGTCTAGGTCAAACCAACCTTACGAAACCACCTAATGTTAAAAATAGTGCACGTGTTGTTTCGTCGTTTAAGTTTTTTGATTGCACTGGAACTTGATCTATAGGATTCGATTAACAGGAAGTGATTAGAGAAACTGGCATTGGTTACAAATCAAGGATCAATCAGTGTAAATGAGTAGTCATATGTGGTTTATCGAGTATCATGTATGTGAGTAGAATGAATTGTTGGCTAAGATATAAAATAATTCGATGATAGAATTAATTTACATCTGTTATAAATAGGCAAGCATATTCGCTTGGTCTCAGATTTTGGCACTGATAGCAATTGACGACATGTACAAATAAAGTATAATTCGATAGCTCTATGAAACAAACATCTGATTTAACTAAGAGTTCCGAAAAGTATTTACAACAAATGAAATAGATTGTTGTTAACTGCTGCCACCAATATATGAATAAGGGACAGCTTCTATCAAAAGCACATAAATCTCAATTAAACTGTTTT